GGACTGAAAGTACGGTTGATTAATTTACTGTAAGAGAAATAGTATTCGTTTACTGGAAAAGTACGTCTCGTAAAGCGAACAGGGCGCCCGTCTCCGTCTCCTGCTCCAACAGCTGCTAGCTAACCGGCAGTACCCCCGTCACATGGGCAGGGGAAGGCAGGGGAAGGACGTCCGGGAGCGAGCTGCTGCTGCTTGCGTGGCTGCAAGCATCGTATACTGAACGAATGAATACTCTGCCATGATGCCATTCAGACGGCCCCGGCTCGGTTACTGTCCATCGCCTGTCCGGATCGCTCGTTCGGTGGGCAGTCGGTGCCACTGCCAATGGTAATATAAGAAGGGTGCATATATATATAAATACAATCAGTAGCAGATCAATGGATCAGGTTTAATTTGACCAAACGCATTACTCTGGACGCAGTAAGTTCGGTCAACATGCTTGTACTCGTACGACATGGGTTGGGTCACAGGCCAGAACGAGCGAACGGAGGCGAGGTGAGGTTAGGCCGGCGGCCACCCCGTGCCACTACGGATGTGGACGACGAAGCGGAGGCGGGCGAGTTAGACACGTTCCGCGCCGCGCGTCGTCGGACCGGGGAAAATTAACGATGCGTACGAGCACGCGATCGACGCAAGGCCGGTCCGCGTCCCTCTCAATCACCAAGCCAATCCCGCCCCGCAGCGCGCGCGGCCGCGGCGACCCAGCCGGCGCGCAGGCAGGCAGAGGCAGCGGCAGCGGCCGAGCCGCCCCCGCCCGCGACTTGTTTGCCTGGGGCGGGCGTGCGTGTGTACAGGATACGGGTCAGCGGACCGCGGACGCGAGGCGGAGGAGGCCCCGCGGACCCAGCCGCGGCGAGGCGGTCAATGAGGCGCACGCGGGCGGGCGGATGGTTCCGTGGACTGGAGAAAGGGGAGGTGGCGGTAACCGCGACGGGCGCGGACGGTAGCGTGATGGACGCCACGGATGGTTCCTCACGGCCGCAGAGGATCCCAGGCTCGAGCGGTGGCTGTCGGTTAGTTCACGGCGTGGGGAAGGAAAGGGCTGGTGGTCGTGGCGGAGCAGTAGCAGGGAGGGGGAGTATCTCTCGTCGTCGGCCTCGCGCCTCCCTCACGTGCCATGTGTACAGGGGAACCCATCTAAGCTGTGCTTTCTTTTCCCCCCGATTTTTTTCCCCAACCAAGTTTTGGCCTGGTTCTCTTTGCAAATTTTTTCAACCCGATGAATAGTACCATTTTCGTCTTATTTGATAAATATTATCCAATCGTGGACCAACTATGCTCAAAAGATTCATCTCGTGATTTTCAACTAAATTGTGTAACTAGTTATTTTTTTTACCTACATTTAATACTCCATGCAAGCGGCTAAAAATTAATATGATGGAGAGAGTGAAAAAACTTGGAATTTGGATGGCATCTCAACAAGGCCTTTTTGTGTGTGTGGAAAAAAAAAGGAGGAGAGAGAAGGTACAAGGGGGAGGAAACTTCAACGTCACGACAGGAAAGGCGGGGGGACGACAGCTAGCAGTGAGGGAGGCTGGCTTACCTACCATGTGTCCTCACACAAAACACACGCACTACTGTCTTCCTCTCTCTCTCTCTCTCTCTCTCTAGCCTGATGATATAGTTTTCTCTCTCCGGCCCGTCTCCTCTAGCTCCCGTTGCTTTGCTCGCTCACTAGTGGTGGTGCGGTGCAGCAACAACTTGTGTTTGCGTGCTTTGGTGGTGCTAATACAATGACCGCCACTAATTGATTGCTCGAATCGCGCGTACGACGTGGCGCCAGTAAAAAATCCGGCAGCTTGCTGGGTCCATTAACATTAACCGCAGCGTGAGTACGTACTGCTGGTACTCCGGCCTAGTAACATACCAGCGACGACTTGGCTGATTGCACCATGCGCTGCAGTTGTCTTCTTCTTCCTCATCGTCGTCCTGACGCAGTGACGCGGCCGGGGTCTCGATTGAGCGCCTTCAAAAGTAAATGCCCTGTTCGCTTGCCTGATAAGTCATCACTTAAAATATTAATTTGTTATAAGAAAAAAATATTATTCATAAACTGAAAAAGTATGTGTTGTAAGCCAAACTAAAAAAAAAAAGGGAGAGGAGTGGATCGCCACTTCCGTCGCTTCAGCCTGCCTGCCTGCCTGGCCTCCAACGCCAACGTTCAAAACCCAGGAGCTATCCAGCCATCTTTTTTCTTTTTCTTTTTCCCCTCATCCTGATAACAAAGCAGCAGCTGTAGCTGTAGCTGTAGGCCTCACTCATTACCTTCCCTCACGTTCTGCCACCCATAGTTTATTAATTTTATTTATTATATTAATAATCCCTCGCTCGATTATATTTTCCACTCTGGGCTCACCCTGTCGCCTGGCTAGTATAATACAGTCTCCCAATCTTGTTCTCTTCTCTCTACGTGCATACATCTCTCTTCTACCTCTTGCTCCTCTCTCTCAAGAGGAGGCCAGTCCGGAGGAAGAAGAAGGCACAGGAGGAGAGAGAGAGAGGCAGGAATTGAATTCCACCGACCCACGCACCACCACCACCACCCCACCCCTTTCCATTTACCTCCACCTATATAGCTCTCCATAATTCCCCGGGCCTCCCCCTCTCTTGTTAGGAGTACACAGTTCTCCTTATAATTGGAGTTGTACAAGCCACCCAGCAACTTTCTTCTTCATCTTCTTCAGTCGCCTCTCTCTGTCCATCGACACAGCAGCTTGCTTGCCACCAAGCTTAGCCATGCAGGAGGAGTAATAGTACAACCACAGAAGAGAGAGAGAGAGAGAGAGAGAGAGAGAGAGACCACCCTGATTCCACCCACCACTGTCCCTTTGCTTATTTACAGGCGTTCGTGATCACCAACAGCTACTCCTCAGCTAGAGTGCCACGGGCTGGGCAGACGAGGTAGCTGACAGCTAGAGAAAAAAGGGGCTTCTTTTTTTGTGTGCACCAAGCAACCCAGGCCAGGGAGGAAGGGAGGAGTGAGTCATCTGTCGATCGTTTCCGGCGAACACACAGGTGAGTCATCAGTCGATCGCCGACGGTGCTTATCATGTGCAAAAACTAGCCATTTTCGCCTCCAAAATACAGTAGCAAGCAAGGATTGATCGCAGGCAGGAGCAAGAATTGAATTGCGTGTTCTTCCATTTTGTGTGCCCGTTTCTGGTCTCTCTTCTTTCTGTTGTCGTTTGCTTCCTCGAGTTCCCATTTTCTGATAGCCGGCCGGACTGGCTCCGGCTGGCGGCCAATTGTCGCCAGTAAACCAGCTTGGCTTCTTCATTGACATATCCGGTTGGTTCTTCATCCCATTCTGCATATATGTGTAGTTGCACAGCTCATTCAGGCATCTTCAAATTCAATTCCTGGGGGAAAATGAAAAAAGACAAGACAAAAAAGGGCTCAAATTTGGACTGTTGTTTCTGAATTGAATTCCAAGACTGCACAAAATTGCTTGCCAAGGGAAAGGGACTCTAGGGAGGGAGGCAGAAGCTTCCCGGTTACAAGGACATCTTTGTATGTGCTGCTGCTGATGCTGGCCTGGCTGGCCTTGTCCTGGTAAATGGATATACGCGTATGAATTGGTGGAATTGGAATTGACTGGGTGAAGGGAGATGCTGCTCAGGGTCACACGGCATTCCAATTCCTTCCCTTCCCAGCAGCAGCCTTGGCTTGTTTTTCCACACCGTCCTTATCTGTACCTTTGCATGCATCCCCTTATGCTTTTACAGATATACCCTTCCATCCTTCCTTCCAGTCTGGACGGATTCTCTGGAAGCAAAGCAGAGGGGACAGGCAGAACAGTGGGGGAAAAAAAGAGTCCAAATCCAATAGTTGCTCATTCTTGGCTGGATTTGATGGGGGTAAAAAGATAAAATGCCTATAGTAAAAGACATGAAGATTCGATTCCTTCCATTATTTGCAACCAGCGTGATCGGATCAACGCAAATTGGTTAATTATAAAAATAAAAGTAGCAGAAGAAAAAAAAAGAAGAAAAACGGGAGACAACAATTCCTCGGGGTTTTCACCCGAGGACTCGAGAATAATTAGCCGCTTTACCGAGGGTGGAAGCCGCTTCGGCCCGAAGCAGGAGCCCCAGTGACGCGTCGCGGCCAATGGCGGCACGCCGCGTCAGCGCACCTGCTTTTTGACAAATTCCTTGTTCTGGCCGCTTTGACTTTTACGCCGGTACACAAGCACCCCAACACCTCCTCCTCCTTGGTGGTGAATCAATCAAACGCTCCGATTTTTCCACCCTCGTTTGTTCGTATTATTTTACTACTAGTAGTATATTTTTATTTAATATATATTTAAAATTTACCGTATCGTGCGTGTACTGTGCTTCCATCTGGTCGCCTATGCTTGCTTCAGAATAAAGAAAGGGCGAGGAAAATGGACCCGCCCCATGCACTGCTCACATGGTGGGTGGGCCCCGCGCCCGGCCCGCATCATCATGCACTGCATACATATATGGGCATGGAGCCCGCCCTGCCGTCACTTTGAATTCAATTGAATTTGGCAAGGAAAAAAAAAACCCCTCCATCTCCTCCTACTCCAACTCCAGCCCTGTTGTTCCGCTCCCCCTCTATTTGTTTGTTTGTTTGTTTAACGCCCCCCAGCTCATCAAAAGATCACATTTTGATTACTGCTATAATAAAGGGGTAGGAGTCGTAGATTAGCAGGCCGCCCATCTTTCTCTGAAAGGGAAGGATTTGGGCAACGTCTACTTGTGCCAAAAATACGAATTCATTCGCCGCCGGTTTCATCGTCCCTGCCCTCCATATGCAGCCGTCGTATCTTTGGAATAAGTAAATAGCAGGTGAAAAAAAATCGGCGTTGCCTTAATTTCATTCCATTTGTGTGATCAATGCATGCATATCCAGCCTGATTTGTATTCTCGCATTAATATGGAGGATATTCATCGTCATCTATCTATTCCGCGTCCGCGCAGCCCGGAGGCGACTGACTGACCGAATTGTATTGTTCGATCGATCGAAGCAGGCAGATGGCAGGCGGCGGATTCGTGGAGGAGATGATGAGGGAGCAGAGCCTCCTGGAGGCGACGTGCGGCGACCTCTTCGACCACATCGACGACCTCCTCGACTTCCCCAAGGAGGACTCCGCCGCCGACGTGCTCCTCCTGGACGCGCCGGCGCCGGGGAGCCCGCTCTCCGCGCGCATCATCGACGTCGGCCGCGCCGGCAATGCGCTCGCCCCGCCCCCTCCCCATGCGCTGGCGCCGCCGCCCCCCGCGCAGCACGACGCCTCCGCCAGCGCCTTCTTCGCCGCCGCGGGGCCCGACGTGTTCGACCCCAAGGACGTCGTCGGCGCACACATCGGCTCGGTGAGTCTGCCACCCCCTTTCGTCCATGTCCTGTCCGCCTCCGCCGCGCATTGCCCGTGTCGGTCGTGCAACTGGAACGCGTTTTTATTTATTTTTTTCTCTACTCTATCTACTCGTACTGTGCGGGCGATTCCTCGTGAAACGGAACGGAACGGAGTTCAAAATAGCTGGGCGCCAACGCCCCGCCCCCACGCCGCGGGCGTCAGGGGACACGCCACGCGCGTCGGCGTCGGCCAGGACCTGGCGCCTTGCGCGCGGGGCGTGATGATTTGTTGTCGTGTCCGTGCCGTGCGCGGCGCGGTGGGTGGTTGGGGGAGAGGAGGAGGAGCGGGCGGTGTCGGTGGCCGGTGAGATCGTGATCGGAGTTACCACCGCCCGGCCGCTGTTTGGTTTGTTGGTTGGACCTGGATATTACGGCCGGGCCCGTGTTACGTCGTCGGAGGGCCCGTCGCTTTTCTTGGTAGCTCGCCAGCCCAGCAACTAATCCCCTAGTGCTGCACCTGTTGGTGGTAGTTTTTTTTTTTTTTGCCTCTGCTCTACGCAACCGAAATTACACCTGGGGCCCAGCCCGGCCTGGCCCATTTGTCCATGATGACTGACTAATGTGAGCAGTAGGATGACTGACTAAAGTAGATTAGGACCGCGGGGGAAGACGATGACGTCATTCATGGCAGATAGAGATAGTAGTAGCTGCAGCGGCAAAGCCGGCAGTGTCGGTGCTGGGGGCGTCGCATGATTCTGTTCTGACGTTTCTGACGTGGCATCTAATGATTCTGATTCCCTTTGGTTGCAGTGCGACGACATGGACATGGACATGGACATGGCGCAGCTGGAGTGGCTGTCGGGGCTCTTCGACGACGCCTCCATCCCGCACGAGCCGGCGTTCCCGGGCGCGGCGGCTGGCTGCGCGGCGCCCATCATCAAGAGCTCCGCGATGGCGGCCGGCGCGCTGCTGTTCCGCAGCTCCAGCCCCATCTCGGTGCTGGAGCACGGCAGCTTCAACAACGCTAACGGCGGCGGCAGTGGCAGCGCCGGAGGCTCCGCGTCCTCCTTGTCGTCCTCGGCGTCCTCCTCCTCGGAGTCCTTCTCCGGGAGCGGCAGCGGGAGTGGCGGAGGCCACGCGTGGTCGGCGCCCGTGTCGCCGCGCCAGGCGGCGCCGCCGCCCGTGCTCGTCATACCAGCGCGCGCGCGGAGCAAGCGCTCCCGCCCGTCCGCGTTCACCGGCGCCGCCGCGCGCGCCGGGGTGGCTGAGGCGCCCACCATCCTCGTGCCGACTCCTATGTACTCGTCCGGGTCGTCCCACTCGGACCCCGAGAGCATCGCCGAGTCCAGCCCGCACCCGGCGCCGCCCATGAAGAAGAAGAAGAAGGCCAAGAAGCCGGCGCCCCCCTGTCCTGCTGCCTCTTCTGATGACAACGACGGCGACGCCGACTACGAGGAAGGCGGCGAGCGCGCGGAGCCGCAGGGCGGCGCCGTCAGGAGGTGCACGCATTGCCAGATCGAGAAGACGCCGCAGTGGCGCGCAGGGCCGCTGGGGCCCAAGACGCTCTGCAACGCCTGCGGCGTGCGCTACAAGTCCGGCCGCCTGTTCCCGGAGTACCGCCCCGCGGCGAGCCCCACCTTCGTGCCGTCCATCCACTCCAACTCGCACAAGAAGGTGGTGGAGATGCGCCAGAAGGCTGTCCGCAGCGGCGACCCGTCGTGCGACCTCCTGCAGTTCATCCGCCGCCGGGATTGACGTCCCGGCACTGCGTCGCCGGACTGTCGGTCGGTCCGTCGGTCGTTCTCGTCCCCCATATATAGCTATATATGTATACATATTAGTATGTATGCATGCATGGTTGCTTCATCAGTCATCAGTCGTCAGTCGTCGTCGTCGTCCATCATGGTCACCAGTCACCGCCATGGATCCCACCCATCATCACATGCATTGGTTTCTGTCAGCATTCATCCAGTCCCAATCCATCGCCGGGCATCCCGGCGTTGTTAGTTCATTAGGTCTTTTTTTCATCGGGGGCTAGTGTTATTTTACCTTTCTTCTTTTTTGTCTATTGGTTAATTGGTTCCCCCTGAATGTTTTTTTTTGTTTGTATAGAGAGAGAAAGAGAGAGAGAGGAGGGTGAGAGGAGGGGCAGGAGAAATAGATGAATCAGATTGGTTGCTGCATTGCAATTGCAGTTGCTTGCAAGTTAGGTAGGTGAGAAGGAGAGCTAAACCAGCAGCAGAGCGAGACAGATTTAGAGAGGAAACTTTGCAGCTAGTCAGTCAGTCAGTCAGTCACTTAGAAGAAAACAAGGAGAGTGCTTTAAGCACGTGAAAGGGGAATTTGTTGGTTTGCTAATTAGAAGGGAGGTTCTGTCAGGTCAGGTCAGGTAGTAGCTATCATCATCCATGAGGATTTTCAAACTTAAAAAGAGGGGGACAGCCATCATCCATCATAGTCTGTATCTGGAGCTTGGTGTACTGAACTCTGAAAATTCTTTTTGCAGTTCATCCATGTTTAGGGATTGATAAGTGTTGTTTGGTTTCTTCTATACTAGTAGTGCTACCTTTTAGTCAATAATTAATTATGAGCTTGTTCGCTGGTTGATTTTTAGGCTGATAAGCTCGGCTGATGCTAGTTTATTGTGAGAGGAAAACACTGTTGGCTGACTGATAAGCTCTGGCTGAAACCAACATGCGAACAGGTTGTATATATGATTCTGCTCTTGTTCTTTTCTCCTGCCTTGTTGCCTTCATCTATATACAAAAGCTGTGAGCATCAAATCTGAGGACCTATCCTTTTCAAGCTCTTCACTTGGTTGTGGCTCAGAAATGCATTCAGTGACTTTGGGGGGCTCCTGCAATGGCAAGACAATAACAAGCAACAAGAACTGGACTATAAATTTTTTTTTAGCATGAACTGGTGAACACTGCAGTGCAAGAAATGAGCCTGGGAGGAATGGCGAATATCGATCACTGTACCAAGGGTATACAAATGGAAAATGATGCCTGCTCCAGGCAAGAGACAACTTGGTGAACTCAAACTTATTGTCAGATGAGCTGGACGTACGGAACGGAATCTCTCTATATATACAGCTAACTAGGTAACGTGTTCGTGCGTTGCTATGGATTAAATACCAATGTTAAAGTGACATTTAATCCAAAAAGTAAAATTTATGAATTTAACATAGTCACGGAGTGCGCGGCGTCGCAGACTCACAAACTCTAGAGCTTCCAGAGATTGGGTCGAATCCAACCTAGAGCCTCGGAACCCTGCATCTTTTCCTGGACGGGCTTCACTTCGGATGCGCCGGTAGCAATATCAACTATCTCCAGTTAATGGATCAAGTCGTATGGATCCCTATACAATGGCTCAGACATGTAGATTTTGTTCTCCTTGTATTTAAATACACTTGTTCCACTGAAGGTTTCATTAAAATGTTTAGACACGAACAGTGTTTGATCACCGATGTCCCTCACCCTGGACCACTCCGGCGTACGGTCGTGGAGGTTGCACTTGTAGATCGCACTGCTGTAGGTGAAGCTCTGTGTCTCGTGGAACGTGCTCACCATGGCACCCACAATGTGCAGCTCACCGTTTGATTCCAGGTAGCTGCGATGGCAGAGTCCCGCAGGTGGCGACAGCGATGGCAACAGTGTCGCGGTTGGAGTAGCGCCGGCGGTGTTGCCGCTGCAAACGGAGATTTCTCCAGTGCAGTCAATCGCCAAGAACTTGTCTTGGCAGTGGACGATGGACCCTACGGAGAACTCCAGTTTGGTGTCGAGAAACATCCATGCGTTGTTGACTCCAACCTGGCAGAACGCGACCTCCGTGGAGCACCCAAGCATGGCCATGGCCACGCACTCGCGACCGACGGCATCAGGCGGCGCCGAGAGCATGATCTCACGGAAGAACACGTCCCTCATGTCTTCTAGCTTGATGGCTCTGCCTGCGGCATCCGCGCCCCCGTAGCCGTTGGTGGGATGAAGGACCCACGGGGCGTGGACCCTAGACACGCGTTCCGATGAGGACGCCGCCGTGACGTGTTCGTCTGCTGGTGGGAGCTCAACGCGGGGGGCACGGGCACCGACGAATGGATTCAGCAGCGTCACGGACGCCGCCTCGTCCATGAGCGCCAGCCACCCACACGAGGGGCCGCACGCCACCTTGCCACGCACGTCGGGCAGCGTCTTGAACAAGACCTTCTCCGGGACGTAGTAGAAGCCGACGCGGTTCGAGTCGGGGTCGAACGGGAGCAGCAGGAGCGGCCCGAAGGTCGCGAACGGGACGGCGGCGCGCCATGGAGAGCAAGCGGATCGGAAGGACGCCGCGTCGTGGCCTGACGCGAGACGCTGTCCGATGGACTCGAGAAGATCCTCTGACAGGCCGGATCTCCAGTCAGGAACAGATAGGGTCCTTCTCTTAGGATTGGGAGGCTGAGTCATGGAAGACAGATGACATCAACTATGGTTCACACAAGAAACAGCAAGCGAGGACGATAGAACACGTGAGCGTGAAACCAAATGAAAGGAGGAAAAAACTGTCCTTTTTACAAATGCAAAGTGAAGAAGTAATTAAATGTAGGCAGATTTGACAAGGTTCTCAGAAATACAAAGATATTCATTTTGTCTTAATTCTCTTTCCTTCAGTGTTAAATCTCTTTCCTTTTGCTCGTTGCCATGTATGCTGGTTCATGCAAACATGCAATGTGTATATAGATAGCACAATAATTTTCTACTTTCTATTTTACCGTGATTCCTCTATCACATGACAGATAATATTCAATAAAAAAGAATAACACAATCAATTAGTAATTAAGATATCGTGGGATCGCAAATATGAACAAACAGACGAACCAAAATAAATATCGTATAAAAATATATCCACGCTTTATTTTCTTAGAAAAAATTACAGCGCAATCGCCCAACGGCAGAACGAAATATACCTGCGACAAATTACCGTCCGGCTCCCACCCTTCCCTCGATACCGGGCCCACACGGAGGCTCCCGCACACGCGCTCCTCCTCGCGTGCGCCAGAATGCCATGCCTTCATCGTCGTCTTCTACCGCGCCACCGAACCCTCAACTCACCGACGCGAAGGCCACCGCCGACCCCAACATCCACGAGCAGCCGCGGCCAGTCCTGCACCGACCCTCCGAGCCCTCGCCTCGCCGCCTCTCCCCTCCCCGTGCTCCCTCTGCCGCCCTAACGCCTCCACCAAGCACAGCCGCCGCCATCACCGATCCAAGGTCGAGCTGCCTATCTCCCCACTCCATCCCTCCGCCCCGATTTCTCCCTCCGTTGGGTTCGCAGCGGCACGACGCGGCCTCGGCTTCACTTCCCGGTGTCGATCCGTGGCTGGTTTGGTTTCCCCGCGACCTCGCCAGAGCTGCCGTCCGCCTCGCCTTGTCTTCCTCCCTCGCCTCGCCAACGCCAAAGTGGAGGGCGTGCCGCCGTGTCGGTGAAGACAGACAACGGCCAAAGTGGATCAGCCCGTGCGGACGTCCACTGCTTCAAGTTCTCTCTGAATCTCTCATACATTGTAAGCCCCCGTTCCGAAGCGTCCATCCATCTCGTGCTCTACCATCTCCCTGCACTCAGGCTATACAGGAAGCGAGAGAGGCAACGGGACAAATATTGATTAAAACATCCGCAAGTACCTCCCACATTTCTTCTTGTCTTGCATGCTAGGTGTTTGTTCAAATGCTTCTGTGGCTGCCGTGTCATATTAATATTGATTAAAACAAGCAATGGGACAAATTCTTGGTTTGTAGCCTTTGCTACATCCTACCATTTTAGCTCTCAGGCTTTGGACTTCATTTCCTCAGATATGTTCACAATATTGCCTGCATGTAGTTGTGCAGAAACTAAGAAAAAAGAACACAAACGCTACATAAATCTTAGTCACCCTGGAAGAAAAATAAATAAAACCGGATCAAATAAGTCATGGATTAGAAAATTATTTCTTCAATGTTTATAATAGACAATACATGGGCAACTTCAGTATAGCAGTTTAGAACTACCATCAAGTAGGTCTGTATCAAAGGAAAGATTATTCCATTGTGACTAAGTGATTGATAAATGAAAGCTTGGACAATAGGTTGTGATTATGGTAGCTTTATTTGGATTAGACAATTAAATAGAGGAAGAAAACGGTAGTGTAAACCGTAATGTTGAGGTTGATCAGTGGCTGAAATGAAGCCACCATTATTAGTGTGTGCATTGGTCAGTGTGTTAACACTGGATTTTGGTCGACTTCGGAAGATGACAGGTGGACCCGCATATAGGAAGAAGGACATTCGGCAAACAAAACGAGCGGTCGGCTAAATGCTTGTGCGGTCGGTTACTTCAGAAGGTGGTGACTCCATTCGGGAAAGCAGAAAAGCCGATCGAAAAGATGAAAGTCGTAATAATAAAGGACTCTGAGAGTTTAGGGCAAGGAATCGTAGTTTCCAAGTTTGTTTAAGAGTTCCTTTGTAAGTCGTAGTCTTTTAGGACTCGTGTTTTGTCTAGGGTATAAATATTGACCCTCGACCATTGTAATAGGGGTTCACAACCAAATCAATACAACTGGCCCCGTGCCAACTTTCGAGTCATTTTGTCGTGTCGTCGAGTTCTTCGAGAGGAGTCATCGATCCGTCGACCTCCGTAAGTTCCGACAACCTTGTTATCATGTTTAGTATCATGCGGTGGATCTAGACGTGATGCAAGTAGTCTTGTTTGTTTTCAATGATCGTGCGGCGGATCTTTGTTTG